CAGTTTATAAATTGGGATTATAAATAAAGGTTACGCTTAGATGCGTTTTTTTTTTAAAAAAAAAAAAAAAAAAAAAAAAAAAAATTAAGCGATCTGATACACTATTATAACCTGTGCCAGATAATTTAAAAATTATATACTAGATGCAATATCTGTATATCTCTGTTGTAAAACTAATTTAACTTTAAAATTCTCTCTGACCTATTTTTAAATTTTTTTAATAATCTAGTCTGTATTTCAAACCAAGTGCTGCCACTATACTAGGATCTGACTCTCTATATATAGCGCCAATGATGACAAAGATTGTGATATTTCTGTAAAAGTGCTATTACTCTGGTACTTGTGTTTTAAGCCACTTGTTGCCGCTATTAGAGATTCCTTTTTTAACTAGAACTTGTTCCAGGGCTCGTGCAATGTATTCATCACCAAACATGTAGTTGCTATCTACTAGTCTATTCGGATTTAATAAGTAAACAACACCGATAATTTGGAGGGATAAGCCAAATCTCCACTTTTTATGAAAAATTTTAAAGACTGACGGACAAATAATAAGAGATAAAGAGGAACTACTTGAGCTTCAAACCACTTTGAAGAAGTGTAAGTTTTTTTTTCTACAGTTAAGACCTACTGCCTAATATCTGCTTAATATTTTTTTGATAAATAATAAACTCTGGGCTTGTCAACAAGTAATATATAAGAACTATCTCTAAACAACAAGTGCCAAGACTATGCAGTGAGTGATAAACTCTAAGCTTGTCAGCAAGCAGTATATGAGAACTACTTCTAAATAACAAGTGCTGTCTTACTGTCTAGTATGTCAAGTGCTAGCTTGTAAGATCTCTTTTTGTAGTAAAATAGTTTTTTGGAAAATGTAGTTTAAGTGATTATTAAAAAGATTTCTCTTGATATTTTTATTCAAAAACAAGAAGTAAATATATATTTTTTATATTATTTACTGAATTTAGAAAGTAATTATAGTTTAGCTTTAAATTATACTGTTAAAATTTATAATTAATTTTTTTATTGCTATGTATATATTGTGTATCAGATTGATTCTTGCGTCAAATACACATCAGATAACTATTAGTTGACTAGCATTAAATGATCAGCAATAATTGACTTAAAAAAACTTACTCTAACTCTAACCTAACTTAAACTGAGTGTCATCTAATACAAGAATCGATCTGAGACACAACATATATATTATATAAGTTATAGCATTATCATTATTAACTGTAATTATTAAATTATATCAAAGTCTATTATAGGCCAATATGAACATAGTACTATTGCTTTAACTGCTAATGAAAAAAAATAATCTTATCTGTCTATTACTATATTCAGTCTTATCAGTTTACCAATTTGCATAAAGAAGTTTCTCTAGCAACAAGAGTTGGTAAAGCAACTATTGACTGTGTAATTGCAGAATTTAATAAAAATAGAGTAGTTATAGCATCAGAACAAGGTCATAGATATTCAAGAGCTCTTAAAACAGAGTATGTGAAAGCTATTCAAGATCTTATTTTAATTGCAAATAAACATAGTATTCTACTCTCTCTTTAAACATTAGTTTTAAACTTATCCAAGTTGGGGTTTTCAGTATCAAAATCTTATCTGCAACATTCACAGGTCGAATGTATGACTATCAAGATATGCCTATATAATCCTATTATTATACTGATATGAATATCAGGCTAATTTAAAAAGTATGATATCGGTAGAATAA